ATCGGCGCGACGCGTTCTTCCAACCCTTCTCGCCCTTTTTTCATTCACCACTCTAAAGGCCCAGACGATGGCAGCGTTGACGATGTGTTCTAACAGCATCTTTTGCTCGTAAACCGTTAGGATGCGCGAAATTGTCCACCTCCAGACCGGCCAGGTATGCCATTCGAATCTGGACTGTAGGCCTTGCCCGCTGATCGGCTCGTTTTCCACTTTTTTTCGCGACCGCCAACGCATTTTCTCACATGTAGTGCGGTAACCAAATCGGTACGTACCGCATTACTCTTCGGGAGAGCGCGTTTTTTCGACCGTTCTTCGACCTCGTCACATCGACCCACACAACACGTGTTTTGCAAACGTTTTTGCTCACCCAACCCCGTCCATTCAACAGGTGCCAAGTTCTGGGAAGTTGTATCCGATGAGCACGGTATCGACAAGGACGGTGTGTGAGTACATCGTGTTTCGTCGATGATCCTCGCATCGGCGATCTGACTTGATCGGGACGACGCGTCGCAGCTACAAGGGCAACAATGACCTTCAACTCGAAAGAATAAGCGTCTACTACAACTCAACAGGAGGTATGAGTTTACAAACCGCGAGCGGACCGTTCAATCACTAACTGGTGTAACAGCCAACAAGTATGTTCCACGCGCCGTTTTGGTCGACTTGGAGCCTGGTACCATGGACTCCCTCCGATCCGGTCCTCTCGGTACCCTCTTCCGCCCCGACAACTTCGTCTTCGGTCAGAGCGGTGCGGGTAACAATTGGGCCAAGGGTCACTATACCGAAGGTGCTGAGTTGGTCGACTCGGTCCTCGAAGTCGTCCGAAAGGAAGCCGAAGGCTGCGACTGCCTTCAGGGTACGTTATCTCCGCCTCGATAACCACCAAACCAGCTAACGAACCGTGTAATCTATAGGCTTCCAGATTACCCACTCGTTGGGTGGTGGTACTGGTGCAGGAATGGGAACTCTCTTGATCTCCAAGATCCGTGAAGAGTACCCCGATCGCATGATGTGCTCCTTCAGCGTCGTCCCTTCCCCCAAGGTCTCCGATACCGTTGTGGAGCCCTACAACGCCACTTTGTCCGTCCACCAGCTCGTCGAAAACTCTGATGAAACTTTCTGCATTGACAACGAAGCTCTTTGTAAGTCCCTTCGGCTCTCGGGTGTTACCTCCGTATTTGGCCTAATTGCTGGTTTACCCGCAGACGAAATCTGCTTCAAGACCTTGAAGCTCTCCACGCCGACTTACGGTGATCTCAACCACCTCGTCTCCATTGTCATGAGCGGTATCACCACCTGCCTTCGGTTCCCCGGTCAACTCAACTCTGACCTCAGGAAGTTGGCTGTCAACATGGTTCCCTTCCCCCGTCTCCACTTCTTCATGGTTGGCTTCGCTCCTCTCACCGCTCGCGGCTCCCAGCAATACCGTGCTGTCACCGTCCCCGAGCTCACTCAGCAGATGTTCGATGCCAAGAACATGATGGCCGCTTCCGACCCACGACACGGTCGCTATCTCACCGTGGCCGCCTACTTCCGTGGCAAGGTCTCGATGAAGGAGATCGAGGACCAAATGCAGATTGTTCAGAACAAGAACAGCTCGTTCTTCGTCGAGTGGATTCCCAACAACGTCCTTACCGCCCAGTGCGACATCGCTCCTCGTGGCCTCAAGATGTCCGTCACCTTCATTGGCAACTCCACTGCCATCCAGGAGCTATTTAAGCGTGTTGCCGATCAGTTCAGCGCTATGTTCCGGAGGAAGGCCTTCTTGCACTGGTACACCCAGGAAGGTATGGACGAGATGGAGTTCACCGAAGCCGAGAGCAACATGCAGGACTTGGTCGCCGAATACCAGCAGTACCAGGATGCTACGTACGTTCATTCCTGTCTTAACTATTTTGCGTTTTGATCTGACGACCTTGCTTTCCATTCCTATAGCGTCGACGAAGAGCAAGAGTATGAGGAGGAAGCTCCCCAGGAGGAGTAAAAAGGTCGTCATCGCTAGCACGATCGGAGGCGACACCACGATCATTTTCTCTTCATTTTCCTCGGTCACCTCTGCCAATGATATATCCTTTCTCGTTTACTCTGTCATCCCTCGGGTTTAGCTTCCCTAATCTACACTATTACGATCTACTGCGTGAGGGCTGCCGCTTTTGGGGCGTCACTGGTGCCTGGAAGTCACGAGTCATATGATCACCCGTGCATCATATTGCGATCTCCACCACATATCTAATGAGCCAGTACACCCGCGATCCTAAGCTTTGGGCGTCCCAACGCCCGGCCTGGGCAGGCCTTCCGGACTCGACTGACGACAATGATCCGAGTCTACCTCCGCGTCCATTGCCAAACTCGTACTGGGCAAGCCCGACGTTGCTCGCCAGTGAATACCCAGGGGGACCTACGGAGGCATTGGCTCTACCCCGATTGACTGCTCTCGTAAACATTGGATTAACGGACTTCTTCGATCTCACTGAGGAAGGGGAGCTGGTTCCCTATGCGCCTCTGCTCGCAAAGCTCGTCTCGGACAGGGGCGGGACGTTTGTCGAACTCGACGCATCCAAAGGAAATTATCCCGCCTTCTTTCAGATTCCGAACTCGGCAGCAAATGATACAAGTCTTCTTGTCCGATACGCACGGTTTCCGATCCGAGATCGATCCATCCCATCGAGGGAAGATCTGCATAGGATCCTGGATGCGTTGAGCATGGTCCATGCACAGCCAGATCGCAAAGCCGTGGTGCATTGCTGGGGAGGGATCGGGAGAACTGGAACGATAGTTGGATGCTGGCTCGTTCACTCGGGACTCGTTCAAGACGTCGAGGATGTCATCGTTGCGCCGATGACAGAAGGAACGTCCCTTCCTGTAGAGCAGCCTGGAGATGCTGTACCAGTAGCAATAGCTACTCGTGTCAAGCCCGCAGGAGAGGTCGCGCTTGGAGTTTTGGCGAAGAAGTGGCAAGGAGTGGATAAAAGCTGGAGAGTCCCCCGAACACCCGAGAATGCATTGCAAGCGGACGTGGTACGACTACATCGACCACCAGCTCGTGGGATGTGATTTTTTTACTACTAGAGAGACTTTGATGTATGAGTGCGATGTAGTATTCGGTTGTATATGGGCTTACTATTGTACGCAATATTTCAACGGACAAGGCCCAGAATATAGGCTTTCATGATGATATCACCTTAATAGCTAACGAATCAAGACTAATACTATGGCAAAGATTCCAAGTCCGCATTATTGAAAAGCTGGGCTTAGCTGTAAGGTGGCATGCTTTCCAAAGTTAAAAAACCCCAAAAATGACGAAAATAGATCCAAAATCCACACCTTAAAGCACGGGAGAAGATATAAAGTAACAAATGTAAAAGGAAACTGTTTCCAGTAGCCTAACGCGGGGGTCGAACCCGCAACCTTGAGATCACGATTACGTAAGCGTAAGAGTCTCACGCTCTACCGATTGAGCTAGCCAGGCGGCTTGGAAGTAGTTCTTCCCAAAGTATTATAGCAATTTGCGCGTCCGCCCGAGATAAACGACCACACCACGCTCGGTCTATCCTTAGATAACTATATCGACGAAATCCTCTCCTAAATAAGTGCTCTACGGGGTGTCTAGGAGAAATCACGGCTTGCAATGTCTACAGCTTTTCCGTCGCCATTTCCTTGGAGTGGAGGCTCCCGAGGATTCTTACCAAGCTCAAGGACTGAGCGATAAAGTTTCAACTACTCTTACTGATAGGGTGCTTAACTTCAGCTTAGGGCACCTCTGGCACACTGCAGTGTGAAAGCTATCTCCGCCGTTCAGAATTCGATCGTCTTCATCCGCACCGACCTGGTCGGTTTCTGTGCGCCCATAGATCGTTCAAAGCAAGCGTATAGTCCGTACTTCTGAGGACTAAAGGAAACAGAAAACATGGCAACGCGCTGCCGAGCCGATCTCGAACGGAAGTAGATTAGACGCGCGCACCTTCGCCCTGACGGTGCAAACAAGCAAACGAGAAAGGCACGCTGCTGCATTTCCTCCGTCGTGCGCCGATGAATTGATAACAGAAAAAGGAGAGGCAGAGGTCAAGGCAAGCCTGATAGGACTTGTGTATCGTACCCCGATGCAGCAACGGGTTGTTGACTTGATGCATGCCGGTTTCCGCCTCCTTCGTTGCTAGCCCCAGTTCTAGCTCGGACCAAGGTTGCTTTGACGTCTCTGTGAGCTCGTAGCACTATACATAAAGATCAGCTTCCAGGAGTGAGAAGCATTCATCTCATCACTTTCCCCCCTCCGTTCGTCACTTCCATTCCAACACCGCGAGGAGCCGGCGGCAAACCGTTTGCCCACTCAAACCTTCTCACAGTTCTTTCCATACCACACCCTCTTTTTTAAATTATCCTTATCATTATGCGTCTTCCTCGAGCCCTCACCCTCACCGCCGTCCTCTCAGTTCTCCCGCCATTGCTTTCCGCCGCATCCCTTCTTCCAACCTCCCGATCGTCAAATCCATTCCTAGATCCCCGTGAACTCACGGCCTCCGTTGATGTTTGCGCCGATGTCGACGTGAAGCTTCAGCTTGTCGCCAAACTCACCTTCGGCAGTGTCGACCTCACAATCGACGTCCAAGTTTGCCTGTGCGTTGATGCAGTCGTTCAATATGTCCACAGCAGAAGCGATATTCCCCATGATTGCAAGACCGATGCAGCGCAGCAACTGGCCGATCAGGTCAGTCGCTTTGTCGAAGTGCGTTGTTTGGGCCCTTCTAACCAATTCCATGCCTTTGGCCGAAAGATCCAGAGTTGCAAGTCCGCCGTCACTTGCCACTACGCCGCCCACTGCACGCCAACCTCGGGAACCTGCTCTTCGCCCAGCGACTGCGCTTGCACGTGCGATACGGAATACACCAAAAACAGCAGTGGTGCATGTGTGTGTAAAGAAGGGACCTACGACTGCAACGGGCAATGCAAGCCGAATGATACACCTTGTTCAAGTCCAGTTGTACGCCGGGCGCGGCATCCAAAGCAGCAAAGGAGCAAGGGCATCATCCATCAGCCAGCTCCGATCGAGAAGCGTGGCGGCGAAGCCCCGAAGAAGATCGCGCACGGACGGAGGCCGCTTTGCCCCCAAGGAACAATGGTCTGCGGTGTCGAGATGAGGGGTGGAATGTCGATGAGAGGTTGGGAGTGCATCGACACCCGGAACGATCTCGAGAGCTGTGAGTTGTCTCGGTGCGGTTGCTGGACGTCCAACTGACGACGACGTCAATTCCAGGTGGAGGCTGCGCTATCCCATATTCCTCTTCGTCAATCCCTGGTACCGACTGTTCGCAGATTCCACACGTCGCGGATGTACGGTGTGATGGTGGCTCTTGCCGGGTTCGTCGCTGCACCAAAGGCTACGCAGTCGGCCGCGATGGGTCGAGCTGTGTCCCAGCGCTGCCTCCTACTCTCAAGCCTTCCAACTCGAGCCGAAAGGGCAATCGGCGCCCTTCTTTGTATTCGGTGCTTGAACACAGCGGGTAGAGGACGGTGATCGATCGTTTCAGTCACGGACTTTTCGGGATTCGTCGGTTTCTTTGTTGTTATTTCTTCGGGCTTCGTTTGTTGATTAGCGACGTAATGGCGTCCATACATTCCTTAGAAGAGCTCTCCCTGTTAGCTACATGTATGGAATAGTATATCGAGTCAGATACCCAGACAACTTTTCTGACCTGGACTCCGGCCGACACAAAAGTCCGGCGCGGACGGCACGACGTACCGACGTACCAATGACGTCACACCTGACAGATTTAGACTCGCAAAGGAAAAGGAAATTTTCCGATGATACTTCGAACTTGCCTGTGATTTCCTGAACAGCCGAGCATTGTGGTGCCTGTATAGAGTGGCTATGACGTCACGGGCTCGGTTTGGGTGCGGCGTCGTATCGCTTACCCCTGGCGCCACTTGTCGTCGCGTGGAGAGGTCTTGGAGCCACCAAAGACCGCGCAGCGATGCATGATGTCAATGACCGGTGACGCTGGAACACCCCCACCTCGCCTTGCTATAAAGCAGAGGCTCGCCTCAGCCTCACCACTCCTCACTCAACAAACTACAACTCCATCTCTAAAACACTCTATCCTCCAAACACCCCACCCACCCACCACTAACTACTCATAATGGTGAGGAAACATCGACAGTAACTTCGGAAAGAACATATTCTAATCTATTCTCGTGACCACATAGGGCTCAATCTTCTCTGCTATCGGCGGTGCCATCAACGCCGTTATCTCTGCCATTGCCTCAGTCTTCATGGCCATCGTTGGCGGCATCACATCCGTAAGTAACTTTCCCGAGCACTGAACACTTGCCGAGACTAAATTGTATTCGCCTATCTCCAGGTCCTCGTTGCCATCTGGAACTTCATCGTTGATATCATCTGCTGCCGCTGCGGCTCTCGACGACGCGCTCGCACTTCAGGCGGCGGGTTCGGTCGCAGGAGACGAGGGGCTGCAACGTACTAAACATCGTTGACCCCTGCACTGCTTGACGACTCGACGATACCCCATGATTCTCCTCTTTATATGACACCACTGTATCCATAATTCCTATTGTTACGTGCTCCTTTTAATCAGACTGATTTCTCACTTTCCTTGGGTGCTTGGCCCGCGATCAAATTTAAGGACAACTCGATGAGATCACGCGTCGGTTTCACAGTAGGTTGTAGTGAACGATATTTCAAAAGGTTACTCAGTATCACATCGCTCCAACTAGTAGTTGGAGCTGACTTGGCCTTCGGCACGTTCTTGGGCTGCGCAACGTAGACGAGTTAGTTCTGAGAACGGCACATCACTATCGTTGTTACGTACCTTGCTTCTTAGCCTTCTGCTTATCGATAAAGTCCAAGCCCTTGGTCTCAACTATCCGGTCGATGAAAGCACCTATGATTCGTTCGACCTATCAGTATAGCCGAGTTCTTACTTCTGAAGACACGTATTGAGGTCATACCTGCGAAGCCAGCACTAAGATCGACATACATACTAGTAAGTAAAAGAATCAAGCGGAGCGCGAACGGAGTGGGAGACTAACATGAGCTCCTTGGCGTGAGCGTGAGTTGGTTGCTCTCCATCTGCGAATGGACAAAAGCGTGCGTGAGGCTGCCTGTCACCGTCAAACGAATTGGGACGTACTCTTCTCCTTATGGTGTTCCCAAAGGCGAGCAGCTATAGCAAATGGACGATTTGATGAGAAAATGGAGGCTGGCTAAGGAACCACCGGAGAGCTCATTCACCTTCGAAAGCGGCTGCACCAGCGACAATCTCGTGGCTGAGCTTGGCCTGCGATTCAAATTGAGGGTCAACTCTACACTCCCCGAGTGCACTCAACGGGCCGTACCTCGTGCGGAGCGTTGACTACTTCGTGGTGGGCGGTCTGCAATTCGACTTTGTCCTGGTCGCTGGAGAAGACGGCGTCGACTTGGCCTTGCCTGCCCCAAAGAGCGGGAGTCTTATCGGGCGCCCAGTCGTTCTCGGAGGTATGAGGTTGAATGTTTTTGTAGTAGTAGCCTGGTTATAATAGCAGTGATGAGCGAGTGTATAGGGTGGGAAGGATTGCAAGGGAAGAGAACCTTGGTAGGTGACGACGTCGCCGACCTGGTAGTTGTTGCCTGCGCCCCTGTTGAGAGCTCGAGATCAGTATCACTCCCGGTCCGGTAGAAGAACACCAAGCGTTGGCCCTACCAAGCTTTCACCATTATGTGAGATGTTGAGAGAGAGAAAGACGGCTTTGCGGGAAGGTGATGAAGAGACGAATTCAAGTGTTCGAGGCCGAGGTGACCTTGGATTTGGGCCACTATTTATACAGGTACACCGACTCGAACGGTACGCATTTTTGCTTTGAATTGCATGATCGGATCTGCGTTGACCGAATGATATCGTTCTCTTCCCTCATCGATTGGTAAGTAAGGCGAGGATGGCGTGCTTCTTTGAGGATCGCTCGCAGGCACGGTGGTCTTCATTACTATTCCGGGATGCCACAGCCTTACGATAGACGGCATCATCCGAAGCTGGCGCTGAGGTTTCGCGAATTCACGTCTCCGATATCGCCACGATGTTAGGAATCGAGGGATCGTCCCCTCGTTCGCGGCGTCTATCTTCGGGGTTCGGGCATGGCCTGGAACTTTTCGGCTTGGGCGTCTATGTGACCGCCCTCCTCTTTGATTTTCCACACGCGCGTAGAGGCTAACGAGTCGCAAGATGATAGTGATATACGAATGCCGGAGCGATAATAGATCGTCCAGAGTACAGAGAAACGCGGAGAGAGGATAAAGAGATGCAAACAAACCAAGGTGGCGCAATGACGTGGAGTTGATATGGAGTACAAAGAGTCAAGCAGGAGTCAAGAGAGAAAAATCCAGTCACTGGTAAATAGATCCGAAGCCCAAATACATAGAGAAAAACGAGTCGATGTGTGAGCTCAGTAATGGGGCAGGAATCGGGGGTTGTCGAAGTAGTG